AACTTGGCTCCACCAGTTCCAGCTACAGTAAGAGTGAATGGGTCTTGTGTTGGTGCAATGACTAAGTTATTTTTGCTTGGAGTAAGTTCAATAGAAATTTTTCCTGCCCAGTTTGGCAAGTATCTTAAAAACCTGAAGATGAGGAAAGATGACAAAGGAACTCTAAGTTTCAGTTTTACTTTGGTTACTGCTGCTGCAGTTTGTCCAGAAAGGTTAACATAAAACTCCTGGAACGTTAGGGTCAAGTCTTCTTATTTTCTCAATAGTTGCATATTGGTCTGTTTGTTCTCTAGCTTGTGGTTGTACTGAGTTTCTCAAAGCGAACCATTCATAGTTTGCCCATGTTACTGTTTGAACTAAGTCAGAGTTAGAATATATCTTAATCCCATGAAAACTTCTGGAGCATATTGGTATCCGACATAGAAAATTCCATTGCAACCTTTCTTGTCAGACAACTTGGCAGAAGGTTTTATTTCAATGTCTTGTTCACGTATAAGAAAGAGTTGTCAATAGAAATAATATGAAACCTGTCGCAAGCAATATCTACTGTTGTTGAAGAACCTTCTCCAAACTCACCTACGTTTCCATAAGAAACAGCAGTTGTATATTCGTAAGTTCCAGGAACTATTTCTGACCTTCTAATGGCATTGTCGCATTCGTTATACCATTCGGAAACATTTCCGTTCATGGCATCCAAAACTGTTGGCGTTATATTCTGAGCGGCGTACATTTCATATGGGTAAAAATATAGAATAGTTGGATTTATGTGTCATAATAGAACCCACGTGGACCAAGCTTTACTTTCTTCCTGGCTGAGTTTTTAACTCTTCTTTTTCCTTCATTGCCACTACTTTCACTAGATGAAGTTACTTCTTCACTACTTTCACTTTGTTCTACTCTTCTCTTCTTCTTTGGTGTCGCTTTTGGTAACTTGCCCTCTGCTTCAAGTTGTTGCATCTTTGCCTCATGTTTCACCTAGTATGTTGTAAATTTCCCATGTCCTTTTTGCCTTTGGGCTCTGGTCGCCCATCTCAGGTAACCTATATCCTAGAAAGATTTTGTCATAGTTTGTATTTGAGTCTTCGCGTATTGTTTGCATGACTCTTTCCTGAGTTTCCGGTTCAAGCTCTTCAAACAGAGCTTGTCCATATGGAATAAGCTCGTTTCAAATATATGTTTTTGTAGCCATTCTGGTTTTTCTTTCCATGTTACCAATAATATCTTTTTGTGAATGGGAAAGCTTTTACCCAATGTTTCAGTCTTGCGTCATTTATTTCTGTAGTTGGTTTTATTTTGTCAAGGAACATGTTTTTCAATACTAACATTTCATTTGGTACTGTCTATTTGAGTTTTCTTAATATTCATCCCTTCTCGGTTCATTGTCTGCAAAGTAAGTTTTTATGACATTTTGTAAACTTTCGTTTGCAAGGTCATGTACAATAGGTTCTCTCTTCCTGTCTCCCTAACTTTCTTTCTAAACTCTTCACCAAATATACCATCTTTATGGTTCTGTGTAGTTCTTTGAGATAAATGTTCTAGAACGTCAGGTGTTATATTTCCATCAGCCATGTTCATTTCATACTGGTCCAAAATATCTGCATCTTTCATATCTTTCAATGGCATTAAAGCCGCGCTGAAAATACCAGCTATATCTGGTTCACCATTCACTTCCATTGCGTCTACAACTTCTTGGAATTGTGGTTGTAAGTTTATGAACCACCTATCCGGGTTAGCTTTATGACCCCATCTCATTGTAGTTCCATAGTCTGCAGAAACAAAAGTAGGTTTGTTTCCATATTGGTTAGGTTCTGAATGAACTTTAAACAATGTTTCATTTCTATATGTTTTGTTGAAATTTAACCTTTTATTTTCACCGAGTTCAGCCAAAGATTGAACGTTATATGGTCGTAAGTAAAAAGGGTTATTGTATTTGCGTACATTTTCTTTCAGTACTTCCATTCTATGCTGAATATTTTCATCTGGTGTTGGAGTCTTTTGTATGTCGGCAAACATTTTTCGATATTCTTCTACCATGTCAGCCGAATTTTTCTTAGACTCTTGGAAAGATTCCATATTCACCTCATACTCTTGTTGAGGGTCAAGATTTTTCGGCTGTTCCAAATCTTCATCTAGTTCTGTGAAGTTAGTTTCCAAAGGAGGGACTTGTTCGTTTCCTTCAGGCTCTTCTAGCTGTTGTTGCTGAACTATTTCTTCCATGTCTGGTTGTATCTGAACTTCTTCCTGTGGAGTTTCTTGTACCTCATCTGCTGGCATTTCATATATTCGAGACCGTTTTTAAAAAGTTCCCTATCTAAGTCATCCGGACATAAACCTTTCTTCTTTCGTTCCGTCTCTATTTTTTACGCGTTTCATGAAGAGAGTTGAATTGTCATTTAGCTCTGACACCAAATATCTCGGAGTAAATTCAGTCATGTCATTTGGATGATATGCTATTAAATCATATCCCTTAGCGAGCTTGTATTTTCCAGGTTTGAAATTATATCCCATTTGGTGCTGAGCCATAAAGCTAAATAGGTTCGGGTCAGTATTTCCTTCCTTGAACTTTCTAATAGCTTCTTTATATCTGTCACTAAAGTCAAGAGTATCTGGGTAACCATAATCTTCCTTTAGCATTTTTAAGAATTCTTGGTTTCCTTGTTCTCTACTTCTTTTATGTCCTTGCTCTGTTTGTGGTTGTTGTTGTGCAGGGTTTTGAACTGTTGGTTGCTGTGCTGGTTGTGGAGGTGGTTGTTGTGCAGGGTTTTGAACTGTTGGTTGCTGTGCTGGTTGTGGAGGTGGTTGTTGTGCTGGTTTTGGTGCATGCCTGTGTCTGTGTCCATGTGACGATGTAAATGTTTTAGGTAGTCCTGGTGCAGGTGCTTCTCTTGGAGGGTTTGGTGGTATATAAGTTCCACCAGCTGGCACATATGTTCCATCTGCAGCATAGTGTCCTACCTGACTTTTCGTTTTTAAGAAAGCATTTACTAGGTCTGTTTTGGTCTGTTGTAACTCTTTTTCTTGACTTTCCACAACAGTTGCTCTAACGGCGTCATAGGCACTTTGAACTGCCTGTCTCGTTGCTGCATCTGTTATTTTCGTCATATTTTGTGCTACTTCTCTTAACTCTTTGTCGAAACCTTCAGACTTCAGTTTCTTTCCAGATGAGAAGTCGTTCACTAGTTTCACCTTACTATGAAGAGCTTCGAAGGCGTTCTTAAAGTCAGCATTCATTAAAGCTTCATTTGAACTGTCTTCATCCGCTTGTATTTTTGTCCTTATTGACCCTATAAGTTGGGCTGCTTTAGCGTTGGCTTGGGCATCTAACCAGTCATTGTTAGCTTTTATATATTCTGCGCTTTTCATTGCCTTTTGCATGGCTGCGTCGTTATTTTTACTTTCTTGTGCTAAGTTTTCATACTGTACGGTTTGGTTTTGCAACTGTAAAAGTTTTTCTGCCTTTACATTTGCTTCAACTTCTTTTTTATACTCATCGCTATCCATATATGTCTTCAGGGCTTTTTGTTTTATTTCTTCATCTTTCAGTACTTTATATTGAGTAGTATGGTTTTTCAAATTTATAACATCTTGTTCCATTTTTGCTACTTCTGCTGCTTTTTCTGACACTTTTTTCGCATATTCCTCTGTACTTAGTTCTTTCAGTTGTTCTTCTTTCTTCTTTTTCTCTACGTTTAACTCATTGAGTTTCTTTGTGTGTCTGTCATATTCTAGTTTCTTTTCGTTTTCACTTATTTGTTTCTGTATGTCTATGTTTGACTTTTTGACATCTGATATTTGATTTTTGAGTGAACTCAAATTCATTTGACTTTGAGGGTTATAAGCTGTTCCGTCTGCAGCTCCACCATAGCCTGCCATTTTCGCTAAAAGTGCCGCTCTTAAACCTCCACTCTGTGCACCAATAACTCGGTTTAAAAGCATAGGATTGCTTGACATTTGTTGCAACATAGTGGGGTCATTCAGCATTTGTTGTTGCAACTGTTGTTGTGGTGTCAGTTTTACTATTGGATGTTTCAATGCTCTCTTCCTCTTACGTATATTCTTACGTAGCTTACGTGGCATTTTAAGTGAAGTTAAAAAGCGGTTTTTGACAGATGTTTATATGACACTTTCTCCGGTTTATAGGACCTCTCTCATATTCTATCTTGTCATATCTAAACTCATAGTCATGTATGTCCTCTAACCATCTCATAACGGTTTCCAAACCACTTTTATCGGATGTAAAGTAAAAGCATGGATGGTTATGTAAAACGTCTAAAGTTTCTAAAGAGTCTCTCAAAGTATACTTCCTTGGAACGCCCGTAACTTTTCCTGTAGCGACGATAGACCCTTACTTGTCCGGACAAAGTTATACTATTTTGAGTGCTCTACAAAAAAGTCAACGACGACGACTCTCAAAAATTTTTTATGGGCTAGAGGGCGCAACGCGCCTGGAGGCCCCCAGTACCCAAAAAAACTTCATTTATACTAAACATCTTCAGGGCTAGAGGGCACGAAGTGCCTGGAGGCCCCACTACCTTTTTTGAAACTTATTTGTTTACCAATATTCCTTATTTTATAAAATTTTTCAATTGAATACTACAATAATTTTATCTCTCCTTTATTAAATTTTCGATTTTTATGTTAATTCTAATTCTTTGCACTATTTCTTGTCTAAATCTTCTAAAATTTTTATTTTAATTTAATTTGACACATAATCATCCTTTTAATTTTCGATTCAAATCCTTATCCTCTTCATTATTTTTCAATAATTTTTTTATCGTAATTTGTAAAATTCGTTCTTTTATAGCTGTTTAAATAATCCAAAACCATGATATTTATTATTGTTAATTATTCCTAATCATGTTTTTTACATTAATTTTAATTTTTTATTTTCTGAACCATTTAAATTAATTTTGTTAAGAATATTTTTTCAATATAGACTTCTGAAATAATTAAATTATTCTCAAATTCTCACAAATTATTTCATTTCAAATTTGTTTAAAATGAATTTGTACACCTTAGTTGATTCAGCTTGGCTTGAAACAGCTCTAGCACAGATTCAAAGGCGCACACCGTTAGCCATTGTTCTCACAAATGTTCCATTAGTCAACAACACTATTCGTTCATCAATTAACAAGATAACATTTTACAAAGCTCTCTTATGTAATAGACTAATTACTATTGAAGAGTACTTACATCATACATACAAACTTCAAGAGTTTACTACTTTCTACATTAAATATAATAATCGACTCTACGAGTGTTCATCCATTTTGAAACACAGAGATGACACTCTCCTTACCGATTATTTGATATTACAAAGTTCAAACGACTCTCGTATACAGGAAGAACCCTCATCAGCCAGCACTCCTCTACAACGCCAGCTTTCATCAGCCAGCACTACCAACTCTGTTCCACAGCAACAGCTCTCAACAGCCAACGCTCCTCTACAAAGCCCACTTTCTGCCAACACCCCGCCACAACGCCAGCTCTCTGCCAACGCTCCTCTTCAACGCCAGCTTTCATTAGCCAGCAGTACCAACACTCCCCCACAGCCACAACTCTCTGCCAGCACTCCCCCACAACGCCAGCTCTCTGCCAACTCTCTTCCACAGCAACAACTCTCTTCCACAGCAACAACTCTCTGCCAACACCCAGACACAACTCCAGCTCTCGGCCAACTCTCTTCCACAGCAACAACTCTCTGCCAACACCTCGGCGCAGCAACAACTCTCTGCCAAGACCCAGACACAACTCCAGCTCTCGGCCAACTCTCTTCCACAGCAACAACTCTCTTCCACAGCAACAACTCTCTGCCAACACCCAGACACAACTCCAGCTCTCGGCCAACTCTCTTCCACAGCAACAACTCTCTGCCAACACCTCGGCGCAGCAACAACTCTCTGCCAAGACCCAGACACAACTCCAGCTCTCGGCCAACTCTCTTCCACAGCAACAACTCTCTTCCACAGCAACAACTCTCTGCCAACACCCAGACACAACTCCAGCTCTCGGCCAACTCTCTTCCACAGCAACAACTCTCTGCCAACACCTCGGCGCAGCAACAACTCTCTGCCAAGACCCAGACACAACTCCAGCTCTCGGCCAACTCTCTTCCACAGCAACAACTCTCTGCCAAGACCCAGACACAACTCCAGCTCTCGGCCAACTCTCTTCCACAGCAACAACTCTCTGCCAAGACCCAGACACAACTCCAGCTCTCTGCCAACACCTCGGCACAGCAACAACTCTCTGCCAACACCCAGACACAACGCCAGCTCTCTGCCAACACCTCGGCACAGCAACAACTCTCTGCCAACACTCCCCCACAGCAACAGCTCTCTGCCAATACTCAGCCTCAGCCTCACCCATCTGTGTCTATTCCCCTTAAGCGCGGGAGACCCAAAGTTAATGTACCAAAAGATCTTAAGGTAACTATTAGAAACCTAATTGAGCAGCATGGCCATCTTGGAATAATCTCCGCCTATAACCAAATAAATAAAGATATCGAATATGCCAAATCTCATTTTGAGGCATTTTTGGACATGAAGACGGGTAATGTTCCACAGCCAACGCCTACCCAAGCATGGTTCTCCGCTATTGAACGTTTTAAGCCCCTGAATCAAATTTCTTCCACAATTCCTTCCGGACTTATGATTGAAGAGTCTCCATTATCATTTCCATCTGAGCTGAGGAACATTAAATATCTTACAAACCCTCTTCCACATCCCCCCTCAAGACATATGTTAGAAAGAGCTTTTAGAGAGCAAGGCTTGGCACGTCCAAGGGGACCCTATCGGCCAAAAGGAAAGACAAGATACTTAGCTGCCTTTCCTAACCAAATATGGCACGTTGATATCCACTTTCTTGGCAAAAAGAGAAGTCAGATTCTTTATGCTGTGATTGATGACTGCACAAGGCTCATCATAGAATGGCAGCATCTTTCGTCAAAACATGCTAGCCAAACAGTGAAAGTAATTAAGAGAGCAATAGCCCGTTATGGACCACCACATACAATTTGGTCCGATAATGGCGGCGAGAATAAAGGCGAGTTCCTAAAGGCTATGAGGGTTCGGGGGATCAATAATGTATATATTGTCCGCATTGCCCATACCAAAATGGGAAAATCGAGCGCTTGTGGCCTAACATAGAGAGCAGAGAGTTGTCATGGGCAAAGATTCAACAATGGGTTGAGTACTATAATGCTAAACCTCATCTAGCATTACCAACTCATTATGTGAATGGAAAACAAATTCACTATAGCCCATCTGAAATGTGGAAGAAACTTCCAATTTGGAAGAGGGGAATGCCGGCAAAATGGATTGTGGATGGAGTCTCTCAAGATTTTCTTCCAGGTTCACTTATGGCCAATGAGATGCCAGAGCTCCAAGGAATCGAAGAAGATGAATGGGAAAAAGAAGGCGAGGAAGTTGAAGAAGAAGAAAATAAGGCGAATCCGGTTGAAATAGAAGAAGATAGTAATGAAGAAGAAGAATACGAAGTAAATTATGAAGAAGAATATCAAGAAGATTATGAAGACCCTTATGAAGAAGATTATGATGATTCATTTTAATATTACGAATAAAATGTCACTTTTCTATTTTTGACACGTAAAGTTGTCACTTTTCTGTCAAACCATTTTTATCGTTTTCGTATATAACACTAGGACTTTGCGGCTAAAATCGTCGATTATGCCATAAATATACTGGCCACGAACACCCCTAAAATAATGAACATCTGCGTGCCAGATAAGATTGGGGGAAAGCGCCCAATATCTTACTGCTGTTTCTGGCCCGGCATGCTCTAATCGCGTCTTGGTGAAATGATTTTCTTTGAAGTATCTGCGTACTTCTCTATAAGATACATCAATTTGTTGTAATTTCAAACGTTTCCATTGTTTTGTTTGACCACAGGGAAAGGCCCAGTGGTCATGTATCACAGCAAGAGCTTTGATTTGTCGTAGGGATTGACCCTACGACCTTTCTTGCCTTTAGGCAATGGGATATTCTGTAAGCTAAATTGATTTTGTAAAAAAGATTTTGAAACATCTAAATATTTGAAATCATTTGATTGAAGGGTTGGGGCGATGGAACATGGGTGCAAGCTTCTTCCCATGTCATTTTACCTTCTTCAATCTGATTGGAAATACCAATTAGGTAAATTCGATCGACATACCCTTTGTAAGGATTCATTCTAATGAAGTACGTTAACAATCAAAATATTCTATAAGTGTCTAGTATGGAATTCAAAAGAATAAAGAAAATGGTAACGTAAATAAACGTATTATGAAATAATTTATAATTAAAATGAAAAAAGAAAAAATAATAAGTAAAGTGACTGGAAATGAAAATTAAAATCAGTGTACAGTTTTATTTTTTTCTCGCTGTGAAACGTATTCGGTCATTTTTTTAAAAATTAATTTTTTGTTAGAGATAAGAGCTAAAACTCGGTAAACAACTTCTTTATGTCTAGAAAATTCTATCTTGCCTTTTATTTTTTTCTCGCTGTGAAACGTATTCGGTCATTTTTTTAAAAATTAATTTTTTGTTAGAGATAAGAGCTAAAACTCGGTAAACAACTTCTTTATGTCTAGAAAATTCTATCTTGCCTTTTATTTTTTTCTCGCTGTGAAACGTATTCGGTCATTTTTTTAAAAATTAATTTTTTGTTAGAGATAAGAGCTAAAACTTTGCAGACAACTCCCCCATGTCTAGCAAATTTAACATTTGTCTCCCATTTTTATATATTTGGTTTAGAATGTTCGAAAATGCGTAATATGGTCATTAATATTAATTGAAAAGAACCTTGAATTAATTCAATCTGATCTCACAAAATATTTTAAATTACAAACTTTGTAGTTTGAATAGATAATTAGTATTAAACTCAAATAACTAGTTTATTTTTGAATAAAATTATTTGAATTTATTCAATTTTGTGAATTTTCCTTCAAAAATCAAGTTTAAATATCTTCTTTGCCATATAATTATAAATACAATGAAACATATTCGAAATTGAAAAGAATGACTTTTTCTGTTCTTTCAATCATTCAATTTGAATTTTGCAATATTGGATTTCTCATTAAATAGCTATTAAAAACAACAAGCAATTTAACTTACATTCAAATTTATTTGTGTTATATTCAATCTTCTCAAAACTTATAATTTTCGGCTATAGCATGATTATATGCTATATAATATAATAAACCTATAATAGTATCATTCTTTCAATTATTTGAAGAGAAAACCGAAAAAATCTATTTTCGGTCTATAACATTATCAAAATAAATTCAATGTATATTTTGACATGACACAGAATTCAAATTCGTTTCCATAATTATTTTTCTCGTTTAATATCGTTTGTTAAAATTTGTTTTAAAAACGATTATTGTAAGAATCTTCACCCTCATCGGACAGACTGAATTCGTAGGTTGTAATATTGATAGAATTTTAACATTTATGGCTATTTATTTTGTTTTACACTAGAATGAATTGTTCTGCTGAAATTTGAGAAATTATTTTTTCTCTAAATTTAGCAATTTTCAGAGAGTACATTAAAAAATCAAATGAGTAACAAAAGAAAACAAATATTTATTACATCGCACGTTCAACTCTACTTAACACTTGCAAAAATCTATCAGCATATTGTTTCATTTTTGGATTCTCTATTGATTGCTTGAAGAATTCATTCAAGCGTTTAGCCTTGAATAGTTTCGCGCACTTAGGATACTTACACATATCAATTGCAACAGAAGCTGCAGCAAGAGATAAATCATTACCACTTTTGATAAGTCTAACAACAGTATCTACCATTTCAGACATTTCTGGAACATACTTCACCCTAGAAATAGTGTCTAATAATCTTAACGCGGAAAGCATCGCGTCATTGTTCTCATTTTCCAGTACAGATGCAAAATATGAACCGAGAAAACCGCTTTCGCTTAACTGAACAACGAAATCCGGGGTGAGAGGAAGCCTTCTAAGCATTGTACAAATTGCGTTGCACATTCCGAGGCTATTCTCGGATAGTAAGCTGCGGAAGAAGTCGATTGTCTGTGGTGTCTGTACGATAAGCTCTCTAAGTTCTGGGTGTAACATGATAATAATGAATAATCTCATTGTATGAAGGGTTTTTGGTAAACTCTTTGTCATCCATTGATGATTTTGAAGAAGTATATACGCGTTAGTGCCATCCATCAGCAAGCCCATGAGAAGATATGCGGCTTTTTCTTCTTCTTGAGCAACATCAAGCAAAGCAAGTAAAATGTTTGCCATGTGATGAGTATCTGCTTGTGGTGGGTATCTCATTAAAAGAGATAAAGCAGCAGCTTGGATTGGCCGCCTCCTGATATGAGCTGAAATTGCGGAATATGGATAACCTACGTCCTTAATTGCTTCGCCATCGACTTCAGCAATAGCACAAAGCCCATAATAGCAAGTATTAAGGATCGCAACGTTACTTAATGTTAGCATATCGCATACATAAGTCCAACAGTGCTTAATACGTTGCTCTTTGAAGAGAGGATATGTTCGTAACATCCAAACTAACAAAGAAACGTAATCGTCTGCGCATTCAATTGATTTAAAGGAATCAGCTTTCCTGAAGAGGATATCTACCATAGGAAACGGTTCCCTTACGTTTTCAAACTGTTGTGCGAAGTATGCTATAATAAGTAGGCATTTATGTGGTTCTGAATCAACCAGAACCATAATTTTTGAAGCAATTTCCGCAGTAAATATATCAGGGACGTTCTTAGATAGTATATAAAGCAGATCCATTAATTGTGTTCGGAATTCTGGTTGATTGAATGGTAACTGCTCGATTAATTTTTCTTGTGCAAAGATATTTATGCTATCAATGTCGTTTAATGATTTGCAGATTGTCAATAATATTTCATTTCCTGTTTTCGTATGGAGATGTGTCGAGAAATGTGATACTAAAATGTTATAATATTTCGGCAAATCTTGTTGTTTTACTTTCAAATGCGATGTCTTAAGATATTTGACGAAATCAGGATTTGTAGGCTGTTTTAAAATCTCAAAATCTAACTGAGGTTCGTCTCGAAAAGACATCTCTGTTTTCTGTTGATTTGTAAATCGCCAAACGTTAAGCCTTAACGGTATTGTTACAAACCAAAAAGTGACAACTTTATTTGAGATTTTGAAGAAAATGTGACATCTGCCACTTTTTTTATAAAATTCTCTAAAAAAAATAATGATTGATTTTGATATTAATATTCAGATAGCTTCTTCATTATTTATTATATCAAAACTGAATGTTGAATCAATGAAAACCAATTCAATGGTGTGCAGCATTGATTTAATCAATAAAAATCATAATTTCAGTTTTGATCTTGCAAATTATAACGAAATTTCGGTGATTGACAAAGAGTCTACAACTATACAGATCACAGGACCTTTGATTCTGAAGATGAAATTCTTAGATTCTTCATATGTTACTAAATTTTGGAATTTAATTAAGAAAATTTTTATATTAGAGTCGATTCCTGATACATATCCAAGATTCAAAATCAATAAACAGCCAGTTGAGAAAGAACCCGAGAGTTTAACTTCAAATAAATACAAAGTTTTATTTAATTCATTAGTACCGCGTTTTAAGATAACGGAATTACCATCCATACAACTACCGGATCCAAGTAAACCCGGAAATATTGAACTAAAAACAATTGTTGATGAAAATAATTTTGATTCAATTTTTCCATTTGATGATTCAAAGTTACCCATCAGCCATGTATACAACCCAAGACAATATTCAGTTAGCAATGCTGCTTTTACAAAAATTCTTCTTAAATACTTAGAAAAGTTTAATGATCTTGAAAAATACAAAATCCTTCGAAATCAATGGTCAAAGATTTTACCAGAGCAGTACGAATTAAATGCACAAATACAGACTTATATTAATAAAATTGACCCTATTATTTCAAATTCAGCTCCAAATCAGAATACAAGACTACTTATGATGGATGTCATGTTGTCTATCTTTAAATACACTAAAAGCCATCCTTACGAACCATTTATTTTCAAAAGTGTCCAATATTTTATTGAATCCATGAATTCGACAGATTTTGTACACAAAAAGTACTGCGAAAAGAGTTCGATTATATTTTGGCTTTCAAGAATCGTTGCTGAAGGATTTTTGTCAAATTATTCAACAACATATTTACTAAAGTATGAAATAACGCCTCTAATAACTGATAGAATATCAGGCATGATTGAATTCTTCAAGGACAAATCAAAATTCTTGACTCCTGAGAACTCAGAATTAATTTTAGAATTACTTCAAGAAAGATTGATGGATTACAATGATTGGAAGATTTTTATAACAAATTCGATCATATTCTACAAGTTCCAAAGCATTTACTTCGCTAGTATCCTTATTACTTACTATTATTATCTTATTAAATTGATTCCAACAATTAAAAGCACCAACCAAGAACAATTTAACAATAAAATGAAGGATGCATTAAATGCTAACACATTTTCCTTCTATATGGAAACTATTTTTGATATTACTAGAATTATTATCGATTTGGCTCAGTAACTTAATTTTTTGTATGTAAAGTTTTATATATTAGTTAGTGTCTACATATTTTTTTATCTTTTTTTCCTTGATAATTTTATATCAGAGAATATGTAACATAGTAGATTATACAATCGGTTAAATTATCAATCATTTGCTTTGCTGTTTGTTTAAACGATAGTTTATGAATATTCGCAATTAAACGGACAAATTTTAAATTTGAACGCTATACTTATCGAACATGACATTTAATTAATGCGATAACGTACATAGGAAATCAAATAATGCTATTGGCAATCCCAAACGATCAATTCGTTGGTTCTGAAAAAGCAAAATTCAGTAAAAAAATACATCAAATTTGAGAGCTCATTGAAAATCAAATTTTTGTAATGTCGAACGCGAACGAAGCTTTCACGTATAAAAAGGTCCCACTACAGGTTCTTGCTGTTGTCCCAACACTTACCGAGAATGCTCTTCAGAAAAAAAGAGCCGCAGATCCAAATCAATGCGTTGTTTGCAACAAAGCGATAGATGATGAAAAAATAACAATAGAAAATAGATCATGGCACTGCAATTGTTTAGTTTGCGAGCTTTGCAACAAAAAAATAATTTCATCAACATACCAAATTTTAAATGGTTCGCCATTGCATACATATTGCTACAATCTCCTAAAAGGTCCGTATTGTTTTGCATGTGGTCAGATACTTGTTGGTAAAGATGTTATTTCAGTCCAAGATAAGTTATATCATGCTGAATGTCTCCGTTGCTCTTGTTGTCAGCGCCATATCAACAAGTATGAAAAGGTTGAGATGTACAAAGGTATCCCACTTTGTTTCTCTTGCTTTTCAGAAAAATGTCAATTATGTCCAAAATGTCATTCAGTAGTTACAAAAACTAAGTACAAATTCCTTTTTGAAGGTCAAGTAATATATCTTCATGATGTATGCTGCAAATGCACAATTTGTGGAAAAGATTTAAATCAAGATAATTTTGCATTTGAACAAGGACAGCCTTTATGCAAAACATGTTGGTTTGACCTAGCAAACTTCATTTGTATCAGGTGCAAACAGCCAATTTTACCTAATGAAAGAATTTCATACGGAGGAATATATCACATGAAATGTTTCACATGCCACAATTGTCATGAATCCCAAGTGAATAGTAATCCAGAAATAATTGGCGACACTGTTATTTGTCAACGCTGTTTTTGCGAATTCAAAGACAGATGCAGCGTTTGTTTCGAGAAAATCAAACAAGATAGAGTCGAACAACACAATAGAAGCTTCCATTCGAAATGTTTTGTTTGTTGCAAATGCAAAGCAAATCTACATACAATTGATTCTGTATTCAAAGGTGGGAAGCTATATTGTGCTAACTGTGCTTCAAACTAAGCCATGTCAACATCTATTAACTCTTTTTATTGTTTGAGATTATTCGCTAAAAATATTCGTTTTGGTTATTTTTGAAGAGTCTGCTTGGCATATAAATCATTACTTGGATTTTTTTGTATACGGTACATTTATTTTTTGATGATAAGTTTTGTTAGCCAATTCATTTGAATTTCAACTCGTATTTGTGAGATCTATAGAATTTTGACAGATTTACATTTTGGAGTTATGAAATAATAATGAAACAATCTAGTCATATAATATTTAATTCGATTTCCTGAAAATAAGATGTAAACATATAAAATTTTTCAGGTGCTTGATGGAAGCGGAATATAAGCGCCTAGGAAATAAATGCAATGTTCTCGTAAACAGAATGCAATCATTATATGAGAAATGCCAACAAAGCTGTCTAAAATCTTCTAGATCCGGATATTTAGCAATGCAAGATTATTTACTAAATTCAAACAAAGAAAAAACACAAGAAGATATTGATTTTCTCTACAATGATGTATATTATCCAATCCATTTGGGAAATTTCTTTGGCTTTTCACAGCTAGTACAAAGTACAGGTTTCTTGCTTGGATTTATCTTCGAAAGGCCAGATGTTTTGATAAAGCTAATCAAACATATACAGAAAAAGCCTCAATTAATGAATAGACTGACAAAATTTATCATTCCATCGATTTTTGGTTACTTTTGTTCAGATGAACACCTCGAATATGCATTTAAATTCTACAGATTAGTCATTCAGGAGTGTGATTCAAAGCTAACTTCAATTTTACTACAAAATTTTTTCTATTCTCCAGTTATGTACAGATTCGTTGAAGCATTCATCAAACCATTTATAGATGAGCTCGGAATTTACATATTTTCAAACTGTTTGCAAGATGTAAAAGATTGTATCGAATATTTTAGCGAAAAACTCAAATCACATATAATGGTAACATCTCCACTTATTAACCATCAAGCATACATCATTCTTAAGCACCTTAGCAGCGCTAAATGGAAGCCAAAACAAGTTTGGGAGATTTTCTGGGCAAATGCATGTCTTCCGATCGCAAACATGCTTCTATCAACATCAGTCATCGCTTCTTACAAAAATATTTACAGCAAAATTCTCAAAAAAATCACAGATTTTCGTGTTGAAATTTTGAGAAAGATTCTTTCAAATTCCGGATGCTACAAGGCTCCAAAAATGGATTCCCCGTCTGGTGTTACCGGAATGCACATCTATGTCTGTCTTGATGAAGTAATTCAGATTATTGATCTTCTTGAACAGACAAGTCTTCGTCCTGATGTATTTTCATGCGACGAATTCACATCATTTAGCGAAGAAGTCCGCCAAGGACATTTCTGGTGCATTGTTTACCCAAGAAAAGTTCATTCAAAGCCAAAACCAGAGTACGAGTACTCTCTTTTCGATGATTCGTCGCTTGATTTCCTCTATTCGTATCTCGAAGAGAAGTACAAACTGAAAACAATTATAGATTGGCAAGAAATTCTCATATCGAACGAGAATTTATGGTTCCATTACATAATTGACCTTGTCCTTAGCAAGCATCCCTTCGAAAATACCCATATGTTCCCTGAATCTTATGCTCATTTCTCAAAGAAAGTCGATACAAACTATAAAAAGCAAATTCTTTACTTGAAACTGATTGACAACTACTACGAACTTGAACACCAACAGAATGAGATCATGTTTTGGAAGCTAGATAAGATGTGTGAAAAGGTTATCCAAGATTATTCCGAAAAAGTTCAGAACTTCCTAGATTTCAGTGCAAAAATGAAGAGGCCAGATGATATGCTATTTTTCGATGCTCTTAAGTCTATTAAATGCTTGGATTGCTACAATTTCTTTAATAGATACTTCCTTTTGATCAGAATTTTCAAACAGATACTAAAGGTTGGCAAAGGAAGCTCCGAATACTTCGTTCAGTTCTTCATTCAGTGCGGAACTTTGACTTTATTATCATCAATGACATTATTAGGAAGTTTATTGATGAAAGCACCAGAATTCGTGGAAACATGCGAAGGAGAAGACGTAAAAGCATGGGATTTAGCTGAATCAGCTTGGTTTTCAATAATTTCTTTGGATCCTGTATTGGCTGCTGGTGTTCAAGAGTTTTACTATCTGTTGATCAGTAACTTCTCTAAGGTAACCAAGAGAATCAAACCAATCGTTATTGAATACCATTAATTCATAAATTTATTTATTTTTTTGTTTGTTTTAAAGAAATATTATTATACATATTATCGCATTTTAAGTAAAACTTTTCAGCCCGGTGATTTTTCTCTAGATCCGATTATGATATTTTATAATATATCCGTGTAAATATCACAAATATATTCAAAATTTAAAGTAAAACGGCAATAATTTTAAATATCAAAAATCTGGTGGAGTTGTAAATCTTCACACAATTCCGGTGAACCTTTTTATTTTAGAGGTTCGGGGCAAGCTTATTTTAATGCATATTTCAATATTTTATACTAATTTATAATTTTTTTTGACAGAAAATCATAAATTTATTATACGAAATTGAGACGAAGTCTCAATTTCGTATAATAAATTTTGAATTCTATTCTACCTTCAATTATAAGTTCAAAGATTTAAATAACACGAATTGAAGAGGGTCAAGTCACTTTTTTGAAAAAAAATGAATAAAAATGAGGTAATTTTTTATTTATCCTAAAAATAAGTCTTTATGCAATTTATCAATGACGGTTATTTGATTTTTCAAAGGTTTATTTTTTTAATGCTCCATTAGGCAGCACCAAACTCTACACCCTATAGATCTACCAAAAAGTTTAAGCTCCTTGTTGCTGCATAGATCCTTCCTTAATCCAGTCAGCGAATGATGATTTCAGTTCCGATCTGATTATCCAATCAGAGATTATCTTTACAGCCTCACTGCAAATGTGGAAATTTAGGTTCCACATCCTTTTATTCTTGTTCTAGCTCCATTTTACATTATGATTAATAAAAAATTACCTCTTTTTTATATCATTTTTTTTCAAAAAAGTGACAGGTCCTCTCAATTTCGTATTATAAATCTTTGAAACGTTAATTGAATGTAAATAGAATCAAATTTTATGAATGACTGTGATTTTGGGAACCACCATCATACAATCTGATACAGAAAAACTAAAGAAAGTAGTAGATACAATCCCAAGATTCACATATCATAAAGGATTTTCACCATTAGCAGGTGGTTATACCACAGATAAAAATTGGGGATGTTGCATTAGATCTGGTCAAGGATTACTTATGCAATTTGTGTCGAAATTATATCAATTATACGGAGATAAAATCAAAAATATATTTCCAAATGGTTCAAAATTTGAATTGTTTTTTGATCACCCACAAGCGCCATTTGGAATCCATTGTATATGCAGAGAGTTAGAAACATTCGGAGTCAAAGCAGGAGAATGGGTTAAACCTTCAATGCTCGCTCCAGTTTTCAAAGATTTATTATCATTTTTCGGAATTCATGTTGTTATTGCAGAAAATGGGTGTTTATCACGTGAGTCACTTCGTGAGGCCCTCAGTTACGGCCATCCAGTTTTGCTTCTCTTTACTTTGATGCTTGGATACAAAGATTTTGACCTAAAATACTTACCATTCCTCAGACTTACATTATCACTGATATACCAATCAGTTGGTGTTGTCGGAGGCCAACAGGGAAAAGCGTATTATTTAGTTGGCCATCAAAAAGAGAATTTGTTATATTTTGATCCACATGAAGTTTACGATTCTGTTACGAAACTCGATAATATGAATTTACTGTTCAAAGCGCAATTAAAAAAGATGCAATCTTCGCAATTAAGCTCATCTATGCTTGTGGGATTCTACATTACAAGTATGCAGGATGCTGAAGAGCTGCCAATGCTATTAAGCGCGTCTGGAGAATGTCCAATTCAAATTGTTGATAAAATTGACCCTGTAAAAACAACCCACGTAGAAGACGACTGGGAAGTTGTGAATAATTAAACATTGTTGTGTACTATCATAATTTTTTATTGTTTTCCAATTTTTTATTAATTACAAAATTATAATATCAAAAATTCAATTTAAATATTCAGTTTGAGTTTGATCACATGATAAAAATACATACAAATCAAAAATTAATTTATTCTGAACTCATAAGACAAGGAAATCTTTTTGAAATTCATGACATATTTCTAATTGAACATCATTTATGATCATTAACAATAGAAACACATATGATATCAATACATGTCTGCTACATTAGACAAGATCATGCAAATTTTTCTTATATAGGCATTAAAAGTTAATAGATCATTAATTGCTAAGAGTTGAAATGTTTTTTTAGGACGCAACTTCGACAAATTTTGTAGCCTCAAAGCTATTTAAATATGTTCACAATATTTAAGACAAATAGACTGATCATTCTAAGCAATATCTTATTAAACTTACAAAAAATATGCTTATGAAAATGATATGTATGATAAGAGAAAGAGATTATTTTTATTCAGGATTATTCCAAATTATTTTGAGTGGATTGATAAAGATTTAGACAAAAGGGGGTCTTTGCTACTAATTTATATATGAAACAGATAAGATATTAAATATCCACATATTTATACAAAACAGTTTATTTATAAAGCTAATTTCTCCAAAAATGAGAAAGCATTACTCTCAGTTATATTTAGAGTACTGGAAGTAACATTTGTGAGTGCGGATTCCTCAAAGAAATCCGCTACAATCTTCAACTGGTCGTTCAGAGGTAAAACGTTCTTCAAACTTTTCTTTGCAAATGACAATTTATCTGAATCATAAAGAGATGAACTTTTAAGAACAGCTTTGAACAATCTCTTGAGTTCGTTGGTAGATGATTCTATAACTGCTTGTAAAACCTTGATCCTGGAATCATCTTCAAGAGATTCACTTTGTTTTTTGACTAATTTCTTAAGAATCTTGTTTTCTTTCTCTATTTTTCGCTTCTCTTCGGTGATCTTAGCTACAGAATCATCATCTTTGAGCTTTTCTTGCAAAGATTTTAATTGTTTTCTGAGAAATTCATTTTGATTTTCTCTTTCTTCAAGTGTTTCTTTTAATTCATTCAATTGATTCTGTTCTGACTTAGATGTATCGAATTTAATCTTCAAATCAATATTTTCTTTCTGTAATTTTTCTAATTTTTCTTTTTGTTCCGAAATTTGCTTTTCAGCATCAATAACCCATTTAGAATACCAATAGTTGTCATTTTTAAGAGATTCAATTTGTTGTAGCATTGTTCTTTTCTCTTCATTGAGTTTATCAATTTCGGTTTTCAAAATTTTCTTGTCTTGTTCAGAGGAATTCAATTTGTTACTTATGTCTGAACTTTGTGTTTCATTTTTAAGTTTTTCTAATTGAGATTTTAGATTTTCAATTTCTGATTTATATTTTTCGATCTCTTGAGAACTATTGCTCTTTTGGGACTGCAACATATCACTATTATCTTCTTGTAGCTTTAAAATCCTTTCATTTAATGTTTGATTTTCCAATTTTAGATTTTCATTGGAATTTGACAGAGATTTCAGTTTTTCATTCAACTCTTCAATTGATATATTCAGCTTGTTGGCCTCTTCTTTGGATAATTTGCAATCATTTATTAATTTCATGTTTTCTTGCTTAATTCTCTGATTTTCGCTCCTAATATTCTTCAATTCATCAATATCATGCTTCAACTTTTCATTTTCTTTTTGATATCCAATAAAATTACAGAAATCTTGCTTTATTTTATCATTTTCCTGCTGGACAGAGTTTAGCTTATCAATTTTCTGCTTGAAATCTTCGTTTTGAAGCTTTAATTTATCATTTTCTTGTTTAATAATTAAAATTTCTTCATTCATTTGTTTAATTTCACTTGATTTCTTTTGGTTATCCAAATTAATTGCTTTTGATTGGGATTTCAATATTGAATTTTCTTTCTTTAGATCATCATTTTCATTTTGGATTGTAAGAAGGTTCTCTTGATATTTGGCAGATTCAGAATCAATTTCCTGTTTTAGTTGAACATTTTCAGTTAAAATTGAATTGATTTTATTATTATTTTCAGTAATAATTTTTGAATTTTCTGATTTCATTTCAGAAATTTGCGTAATTAAGTTCAAATTCTCAAATTGTAGCTTTTTGAGATCAGCTTTGGTTGATTCAAATTCTTTTTCTTTAGAGATCAAATCAGAATTGTAAATTTCGTTTTGATTCTTTAATTCTGCAATAGAACTTTGCATTTGTTCTCTTTCCTTATTAGACTTTTCACACAAATTATGAAGTTCTTCGTTTTCTTTTTCAATATTTTCTAATTTGTCTTTCTCTCCTTTGATTTCAGCGAGTTGCACCTTTAATTCTTCATTAAATTTTTCCAATTCTTTCGATTTTGACTTCTCTTCTTCCAATTCTTGAGAAATTTGATTAAATTTATTGGATTTCTCAGTAAGTTTCAAGTTTAATGACGAATTATCACTAATTATAGCATTAACAGATGCTTGCAGCTGGTTATTAGAGGTATTTAGTTCATTTATCCTTTGATTTAAAGAAGATATTTGCTGATTCAATTCTTTTTCTTTATTTGATGAATTTACAAGTTTTGTATTCAATTCTTTATTTGATTCTTCTTTGAAATTCAATTCCTTTTCATAAGAAATAATTTTATTATTTAATTCTTCAATTTGCTGCTTGTTTTTAGCTATTTGGACATTAAGTTCATTATCTATCTGTTGTTTGAATTTGTCACGCTCTGATTTTAGATTTTCTGATTGAATTTTGAAATTATTCAAAGATTTTTCAAGAATTTCTTTCTCTTTGTTGCTTTTATCTATCTGGGACTTCAAACTCTCTTGAGTTGATGTAAGCATTTTATTTTCAAGCTCCAAACTTTTAATTTTTTCTGTTGAATTTGAAAATGAAGTAAATAAAGATGAATTTTCAATTTTTAGATCACTAAACTGCTTGTTCAATGATGAGTAATTAATTGTCAGCTTTTCTAGCTCTTGTTTCAATTTATTATTATTTTCAAAATATAATTGTTTTTCGTTCCTTAAATCGTCGTAATTCCGTGATAGAACTTGATATTTATCAACGTTATTAGCAAATTCAATTCCTTTTTTGCGAATTTCTTCTTTCAAATTTGAAATTTCTGATTTTAAGTTTTCATTTTCTTTAATAACGTTTTCATGATCTGAATTGTAACTTTTATATTGGATTATTACATCTGAATACTTCGAAAATATCAATTTCTTTTCTTCCTCAAAATTTGAAATTTTATTGAGAAAATTTTGAATTAATTTCTCTTTATTTTGGCATTCGCTCTCTAATCCATGGATTTCTTCTGTTACTAGCTTCATTACTGATTGAAGTCGTTCGTTTTTTTGTAAAATTTCGTTTTTTTCTTTATGTATTTGTTCATTTTCTGTTTGGAGTTGTAAATTCGCATTTTTAAGTGATTCATTCTCTAGTTGAGTATCAATTTGTAGCTTTTTCGATATTTCTGTAGTATTTTCCAAATTTTCATTTTTTTGTTTGAGTTTGATTATTTTTTGCCTGAGATTTGTATTTTCTTTCTCATATTCTGTCTTAATTTTGACGATTTGTTCATTAGAATCCATCTTATGCTTTAATTCGTTAATAATAATTTCTTTTTCACTGCAAGACTTCTTAATATCAATCATATTTTGTATTAAATCAGATTTCTCAATGTTAACCTTATCAATAAGCTGCTGCATTGACGCTATTTTGTTAATTAAAACAGACATTTCATTATTTAATGTTTTTCGCTCTAAATCGATTTGAGATTTTAGTTTCTTACGCTTTTCTTGTTCTTGGAGCTTGATGTTATTTACAATTCTTTCGAGTTCTCCTTGACTTCGAATTGGTGGCAAAGCTTTAGAATTGAAATCAATTGTTGAAATGCTTGGAATGGAAATATCAATTCGTGTTTCTTTCAAGTTTGATGATTTTTCGGGAGTGTTGTCAAAATCATTCATCAAACTTTCAAGAAAAATGAATGTATCAGAGAGATCATCTTCAATATGACCTATTGAAGAAAATAACCTAGCCAATAGTACGATAAATAAGATTTTTTTTTCTATTTCGAAATTGAAGTTTATGAATAAACGGATGTTTTAAATCTGTGAAATTGAGTCAAAAAATATATGATTCCTTTGAAAAAGCTACCTTGAAACAATTTACATTATAAGTAGTAGTATATGACGGGTTGTGTGACTTTTTTTGTAAACGTAAGAATTCATACAATATTGAATGATTTTGTATCATTTTTTTTAACATATGAAGTAAAAAATGTATGATTCTTACGGTTTTTATTCTTACGTTTTTGAATAAATCAAGATTTAAAAAATTTTGTAAACGTAAGACATTTACACTCAGCCCAAACATGATGAAATAAAAAAAATTAACATTGTTTAAATCCTGAATGGAATCAACGGAGTCATAATCAAAGACCTCATAAACGAGTAAAAAGAAATTGAAACTAATGATTATTTGAATTTATGAAATCAATTATTTGATTCATTCTTTCTTCAATCTCTTCTATTCTTTTTGTTAAATCATCTATTTTCATTAATGAGGTGATTCTTGATTGAGGAATAGATTTCAAACTAACCACCCCCTTTATTTTTGAAATTTTGAATCCATCAACTTTAAACATTTTATTCAATTTACATGTTGTCAATTCTTCAAATAATTTTTTATTATTAGCATAATAGTCATTAAATTCTTCAACAGATGAAAAAATTTTTATTTCAGTAATTGGTTTAACAACGTTTATTTTTTGTTGAACATTTACACTTTCATTTATTTCTTCCTCCTCTGTTTCATTTATTTTTTTTATTTTTTATTTTATAATAAATGAGTATAACAACTAATTCATTGAAATCTTTAAAGTTCACTAATTCAGAATTAGAAAATATTTTAGAAAATTTTGGAGACGGTTCTTATCCAACATATATGCAGAATGTGAAAGAGTTTTCCAGATTGTTGAATGAATTTAAATATAACGGACCAATTACTAAAAAGGCTATAATGAGATATTTATATCCCAAAAAAGTTGAAAAACAGGAGAATATTCCTCTTTATGGTCCAGAGGACCTGGGCTCAGAGAGCCTTGAAACACCTCCTGAATATTTTGAAGAAAAAATTAAACAAGATGAATATTATAACGATGAGATTGAGAAATTGGAACAATTAAGAAATGAAATAGATGAAAAAATTAAGGAATTGAGAAATGCTGAAAATGAAGTAGAGGGTTTAATGAATATCCCAGCTTCAGAATCAGCAGTTCAGAAATCTCATGAAGAAAGATATAAAAATTACTTTTTGGAATCTACTAAAAATTTATTAGATGGTGATATTGACGAAACACTTTCAGAAGAAGGCACAAAATTTATTCATAAACATAAGTTACAATTTATTGACGATGGAGATTATCCATGTATATTACTTTCACCTCCTCTTGATTCTGAAAAATTCAAAAAAGCACTGAAAAATGTAACATATGCAACAAATACGATTAAGAAAGAAGACCATGATATTTACACAAATTATTATTTAAATAAATGTACAGGTGTTGATAAAGTTTTTGATTTGTTAGATAAAATATCAAAAGAAACAATTGGTACATATAAAATTTTATGTGATTGTGGTTTCATTATTGAAGATACCAATAATGTTTCATATGAAAGAACAGCACCGAAGGAAGACGAAGTGGAAAGGTCTATACCATTCGTTATTAAGAACATAAAAGATATGAAAACTTATAAACATTATATTTATTCATTTATTTCAGAAAAAATGGAAGCAACCCATAAAACATCTTCTCATCATTTTATAGCTATTCATACATTCCTTTTCAAAGTTGTGAAATTAAATAAGACAGGAATTAGATTTAATGTATCAGGGTACGCATTCTTGAGTAAATTAAAATGTATTCGTCACGTCGCAGATGATAAAAATTTATGTGTTCTTAATTCATTTTATGGACTTTAGCCCTGGACTCTCTGAGTCTCGGACTTTAAAAAAATAAACTTTATTTTTATTTATTTTTTAATTTTTATTCTTACATAAATGAACAAAAATGGAACAGCTAAAATGAATGATAATCAAATAAGAGCCGAAGGTAGAAGGTTATTTAAACGCTTCTATAACATTCCTGATGGTGTTAATCCTAAAACTCGTAGAAGTTATTTAAATGAAGCCATAGATGCATATGAAGGATTTGACATTTCATCAGAAAGTGAGAGGTTAGCAAGAATGTTAAACGTTAATATTGATTTTTATTATTGTGACCCTCAACCAGAAGACGTAGACATTAACAAGGTAGACTTTCCATTAGTGGATTCAATAATGATAGATCCAGAATTTGAAACAGTAAATATTTTATTAACACAGAGTCCATGTGGAAAACTTCACGCTGACAGAATAACAGACGTTGAAGCACTCACCGGCTATAGAGTTTGTCCATATTGTAAAGAAGAAGTTTATTCTATCCGTGATGATCCAGAAAGGAAAAACCAAAGAAGATTTTTAAAGCATTGTGAGAAATGTAAAGAAAATAATGGAAGATTAATTCAAGACGTTCAATTGCAAAACACACAACAACCATATGCACCACATATCACGAAACAGAAGATATCAATGGCTTATTAGCACATAATTTGCAGGAATATTAATAAACCAACAAGATATTATATTACTTTTGACTTCGAAACATTAGAGACTAAAGAAAGAACTTCAACTTTCTGAATGTGCAACTTTTGAACGCTTACTTAAAACCATTCATGGTATCATCAACGGTTAAATTAAACGATAAAACATATACGAGGAATTTTTTGCTTAACTTCGAGTGATTCTTTTATTCTGATTGGATTGAGTTTTTATTTTCAACCTGTTCATTAGTTGCTAATCAAATATTGAACAATATGAAGAATTAATGAAGTCGCAAACGGACCAAACGGCGGGGACTTTGTCTCATACATTAAATGAGAAAACAGAAGGAAGCATTAAAGAAGCTTTAGATGAAGAATTTAATAAAGTGAATATCATTGTTTTAATTCGGGAAAGTTTGATTTAAATTTAATTCTTCGTGATTTAAATACTGCAAAATGGAAGATAAAATCAATGCTGGGTTCTTCTTCACAATTTAAGCAAATCATTGTAAAGAAAACAAACGTCCATATGAATTGAGATTTATTGACATCAGAAATTATATAGCGGGTGGAACATTAGACCAATTCACTCAAGATTTCGAAACAATAAATCACGTGTTAAAATCCTTTTTCCCTTATCAATTCATCACATGGGAGAATTACGAAGAATGAATTATATAAAAAGGAACCATTCACTCAAGATTCATTTTATTCAGCATTAACCAAGAAACAATATCCGATTCAGATTATCAAATATATCTCAATGATGCTAAAAATTTTGAGAATAGATTAGAATATTTTATTCATTATTGCAATAAAGACGTTGAAATTATGATTGACCCAATTGATAAAATTATCGAAGAAACATTTGTTTATAAAATTGACATGCTTTCATAATCTTTCTTTATCATCGAATGCATCAATGATTCGTTACGCGTTAGCATATAAGAACTTCAATCCTAACGAAACATATCCAGAAGAAGAAAATGTGGAATCAAGTTTTGAATTAACAAAAAAGTATTGGAAATATAAAAATTGAATCATATAAGAAACAAGATGAAAAAGCAGAAAGGGATACTAAAAACAATGTTTCAATGGATGACTATCAATACTATCACGATTTAATCCTTTCATCTAAATGCAAAATGTGTGGTAAAGCGTTTACATATGCAAATAAACCAACATTGGATAGAATAGATAATGAAAAACCACATACCAAAGAAAATTGTCAGTTAATGTGTTGTTATTGCAATGTCGTAAAATCAAATAAAGATGAAGATGTTCAACGTTTAAGAATCAATTTAAGAAATTATGCATTAAAAAATAATTTACCAATGACTTTAGATTCAGTTGAAGCTTATCACATTCTCCGTAATGGAATTACTGGTGGTCTATCAAATGTTCAACATCGTGTTAATCTTAAAGGAATCACGCACATTAATAAACTTTCATATAATCCAGAAACTAAAACTGTATCAAATGAGGACACCACCAACATTATGACTCATTTCGTTGGTGTTGATTTAATTCATTATATCCTTCATCATTTTCATCTAATCCTCATGATTTCATTCAATATACTGACCATAAAATGTATATGCCGGGAAGATTGAATGGTGTTATCATTTGTGATACAGCAACAAAGAAAGCAAAAGCACTGGGAATTATTAGAAAGAAAAATACTTTATTCGTGGCTGAAGTAAAGGGTCACATTGATGAAAAATACATTAATGATTACATAAACTTTTTACCGATAATAAGAAACTTAGATATTATCACAGATGAAAAAACAATTGGCAGTTTTATGTATAATTACATGAAATCAAACAATCTACCAGTTGACCAGAAACAGAGGAAATTAACTCAGTTAGCATCAACACACAACCAATATCAACCATTTTCTTTTATTATCTTGGTTCTAATAGACAGATTTCATTTTATCATCGATGATATTCAATCAATTTTAACATTTACGAAAAACACTTGTTTTAATGAATTTGCGAACAAATTTCATGAACGAAAGACAAAAGGCTGAATTAGAAGGAAATAAAGGAAAAAGTTTATTTTGCAAGATTTCACTTAATGGATCATATGGTTACGATGCAATGAATACACAAAATTACGCAAAGACTAAAATAATGAATGCACAGAAGTCACGCGTTGCATGTATGTCAAATAAGTTTAAAAACATAAGAGAAATAGGTGAGATACATATCAACTGATGCTTAAAGATAGATTTTATAGATGTGATACATGTTTACAAGAGGCATTCTTCACTTTAGATAATGCTAAATACTGGTATTTGGTTTTCATTTATGATTTTATGTATAAATGCATGGATGTTAATCGTTTTCATTTCATTGAAGGTGATACTGATTCATCTTATTGGGCAATCGCTGGCGATCCAAGTCTTCCTAACACTCAAGCATTTCAAGCAATTGTTACTGATAAACAATTTTATGATAAAAACATTTTCAAATTCGCACCATTTGATTTCTTCTGTTTTGATGAGAAATTTAAACCTAAATTAAAGAATAAAGCTGAAGAAAAAGCACATGAGAAAAAATTATTGGGTTTAGCAATTGAGAAACAAGGTGATAACATGGTTGCTTTATGTCCTAAGTGTTATACATCATTCAATGGTTCAATTGATGGAAGTGATTTTAAAAAGATTGCACAAAAAATGAAAGGTGTTAGTTTACGACAAAATAAACAATTAACACCTAAAAATTATTTGGATATAATAAATGATAAATTGATATTTGATGGTCAGAATATTAATTTACAACTTAAAAATGGGTCAATGACTCGCTTAACAATTGGTAAGACTGCATTAACAGGAGCACACACTAAGGCTGTATGTTGTGAAAATGGATGTTGTATGCCATTTATTTAATAAAATACCACAGAAGAGACAAAAGGAACCGTTAATGATGGTTTTGATTCTTGATCAAAGAGGTGGGCACCCTTAAAACATTGATTTTATTTTTATATAAATGGATAACGTACATTTAAAAAATTTAATTGATGATTTAGTATTTAATCAAAATTTTCTTAATTATTATGATTTAAAAGCATATCTCCAAAAATATGATAACAATATAACGGGTGATGATATGGATTATTATTATCCATATTATAAAAATGAAATTTTGAAATATCATGATAAAATAATTTCTAAAATTAAAGACAAAATTAAAAATAATGAATATATAAAGGGAAAAACTAAATCACAACTTAAACAATTGAAAGATTTCAAAAATAAAGTATTAACAGAAGAAGATATTGATGAATTATATAATTTATATAATCCTGAGCCACAAAAACCAAAGCCAAAGGAACAAAAACAAAAGGAACAAAACACCCAGGTCCTTCAGACCATAAATGATGCACAAGCTTTAATTTATGATTCATTAGTTAAACCATATTCAGCCCGACTTTTAAATGAAGATCAACTTTTGGAATTCATCCTTCAACATAAACTCGAAGCGGGAAAGTATATCAAACCTTTATATACAGCATATTTAAAACAAATGAATAGAATACATCCAGAATTAATGAAGGAAGGAATGAAATCCAAAATCAAAGCAGATAAAATTAAACCACCTGCAACACCAAAACCTCCAACGACGGTACCGCCTCCTCCTTCAGTTAATCCCTCATCATTCACTTTATTATATCCATTTCAAACATTTAAGAAGCAAAAAGATTTTAAAAAGGATTTCAAGATATTAAATAAACCAATTGACCCGAAAATTCAACCATTAAAGGAAAAATTTAGTCGACCTTCATTTGCTCCATATCCATATTCATACGAAATTGATCATCTGGAATATTCAAAAGGAAACGTTACTTATTTATTTGCCATTAACATTAACACTAGATATTTATATTGCATTCCGGTGAAAGGGAAAACAGAACAGGAAACAAGAAGAGCTATTCAATACTTACTAGATCATGAAAGAGTAGATAATATAAGGGGTGATGGTGATAAAGGATTTCAGGCAGCTATGACTCATTATTTCCCACAAATTAATTTTTTCTTCTCATCCTCTCCATATACGTTTCATAATAAAATAGTTGATGCGGTAATGAGAACTCTTAGAGATGCGTTAGGGGTTAACGGTCAGATATACTGGGATGGAAATCATGACTCCATCATACAACAGTTAGTATATTATTACAATAATACATGGCATAGAACTATAAACATGAAACCAGTGGAAATGAAAAATGATATTTCAAAAGAATGGGAATATATTAGAAAGCAAATGGAAAGGTTGAATGATGTTAAACGTGAACAAATTAATTCGGGGCTCATGAATTTTAAACAAGGGGATAAAGTTTTGATTCATCTCGATTATGGAAAAACTGATAAATCAATGACAAAAAGAAGACGAAGATTTGACACAATAGCTGAATTTGTTAGATATATTAACGGTAATGTATTAGTTGAAGTTGACAATAAATTAATAGAAATTCCGATTTATTTTATTACTCCATTATATTTAAATAATATTTAATTTTTTTTATTTCGTAAGAAATGAGTGACAACGAAGCAGCCAAGAGTCCAGACGATGAATATAAAAAGAAACTAAACAGAATTAAATCAAAAATATGCTATTACAAAAAGAAGCCACAATGCGGTGGGGTTGAAAACGATAAAGAAATAATCGAAAAATTAGAAACTTACCGTTCAATCCTTAAACTGAGTGAAGCAAAAATAAAAGAATTTAATAGAATAAATAAATTGGTTGGAAGAGATGAATTTAATAAAGATGAATTTTTAAACTCTATCCAAATTTAATTTTTATTCCTCTTCGACAACATCTCTCTTTCCATCATTACTGCATAACCACATTTTCTCAATTTTAGTGGTTTGTTATTTTTAACATGTTCTTGCATCATTTTTATCATTTCCTCCCTTGTTATGATTCGTGGTAAATTTTGAGCTTGTGGGGTATCCATTTATGATAAAAATAAAAATTTGTTATCAGTTATTTTATCGTTAATGTTTACAGGTTATTCAATAATGAATTATTTTTGAAGAACTGAAGGTGCTACCATGTTACCATGTGCTACCAGGTTAATTAACTTCTTTTAAAAAATGAGACAACATGACATTTAGACAACACAGCAGGGGAAGGCAGTTATGAATTATTTTTGAAGAACTGAAGGTGCTACCATGTTACCATGTGCTACCAGGTTAATTAACTTCTTTTAAAAAATGAGACAACATGACATTTAGACAACACAGCAGGGGAAGGCAGTTATGAATTATTTTTGAAGAACTGAAGGTGCTACCATGTTACCATGTGCTACCAGGTCATTTAACTTCTTTTAAAAAATGAGACAACATGACATTTAGACAACACAGCAGGGGAAGGCAGTTATGAATTATTTTTGAAGAACTGAAGGTGCTACCATGTTACCATGTGCTACCAGGTCATTTAACTTCTTTTAAAAAATGAGACAACATGACATTTAGACAACAACATAGGAAATGTTTTGTCATGACTTCATCGTAATGAGTGTAAATGACCCAAAAATAATGTTTCACCTCATTTCTACCCTCTTGCGATTTTCGAATGGAATCTCTTCTCTCGGTTTTCCGAGGGAAGCAATCATATGAGGAAATTCTTGTCTTTCATGTCTGATGGTTTGCAGAATAGAGCATTTGGTACATATCATCTTTGACCGAACGAATGAGGTGAAGTTGTTTGTTATATTGTATGTACTCGTATTCTTCATTAATGGCTTCATGAACGATAGCAGTTGTTGTGTTCTCTGTTGTTGACATATCTGTTATTTCATACAAAATAAAAATAATTTTAAAACTAACTTTATTTTTTCTGACTTTCACAAAAGACCAAAAATAAACGCTTTACATGTATTTTTCAGCAACTTCGTCAAATAATTTTATAGCTTTATCTATCTCATCTACTTCAAACGTTTCTTTACCTTTCATGGGAGCACCATACCTTTTCTCAAACTTTTCAAGTAGTTCTGTTTCTGCAGCTCTCATATCATTAACGAACACAACCTTGACTCTATTGACTGTACTGTCATATCTTTGAGTTATATTATATGTTCTTCCTATCTTATATCTCTTTGTATTGAAGTCCTTCGGTTTCTGAACGATATAAAGTAAGCCTTCACTGCAACGTTCTGAGTCGAATGAACCATAAGTTATGAAGTTATATCCAACAACTGGGTCTAACCACAACAAAACTATTGGTATAAGACTTTTGTCTATAAGATATGCTCTTGTTCCATGAAATGTTACTGATATCATGAGCTCAGGATTTCTTGTCAAAATTTTCTGAGTAGAAGCATTTCTAACCCAGTCGTTTGTTTTCTTTTCAGATGGAGATATAATGTCTGACAAAGAATATTTGTTGTATTTCTTTGAGTATCTTACGTTTAAATCACCTATTCTAACCACTTTGGTGTCATTGTCTATCTTTCTAACTGTTTCAAACTCAATGTTTGACATTACTGTCTTTACATACAAAATAAAAAAAGATATAAAAATAAAATTAGCGTTATTTTTCTAACTAATGAATTATTTTTGAAGAACTGAAGGTGCTACCATGTTACCATGTGCTACCAGGTTAATTAACTTCTTTTAAAAAATGAGACAACATGACATTTAGACAACACAGCAGGGGAAGGCAGTTATGAATTATTTTTGAAGAACTGAAGGTGCTACCATGTTACCATGTGCTACCAGGTCATTTAACTTCTTTTAAAAAATGAGACAACATGACATTTAGACAACATTTACGAAAATTTGATGTAGCCCAAAAATAAAGTTAGTTTTAAAATTATTTTTATTTTTTTATTCCTATATAAATGACGGCAACAAACAACAACAGCAACTATATCATTTCTGATGAAAAAGTTATTGATTCATTAGTTGATTCATTAGTTGTGGCAGAAACTAAAAACCCCCAACGAAAGAATTGGTGAAAACAAGATTGATTTACATAAACTCTCAAACATGATGGAGGAAGAGGAAGGAAAACTGGTACAGCTTTATTAGTAAATAAAATTTCAAATTTAACGATTATAGATGTTGATATCAATAAATCGTACAATGATGAACTTAAAGAAACAGTTAGAAAAGACATTTTATCAAAACTTTCGGATAAAGATGTTATCGTTAAAACCGCATCAGGAGGTCTTCACATTTATTGCAACACTAATTTCTTCTATTCAACCTCGAACAGAATGATAAATGTTATTCCTGCAATGATTATGATATTGACATAATGACTTCTATGGCTGATTCAAAGCGTTCATTAGTGGTTATGGCTGATTCAAGAGTTCGCAAGAATGCAACAGAACCAATCAAAACATACTCATTCATTCGTGGAAGTTATGATTCAACATTAACTAGAACAGTAAACGATATATTAAATGATTTGAATATTAAGGTAAGAGTTGAACAGAAGAATGAAGAAATAAAGACTATCATGAATGAAAACAAAGATGTAAACATTGACGATAAACTTGCCCAGAGCATAGTTGATGGCATCTGTGATTTTGAAGTACATAATGACGGTGGAAACATGAATTTAGAAAAAGAAATAACATTATTCACACTGTTTCAAGCAATTAATTCGTTACCTAATCATTTAATTAATGAAGCATACGATAACGTTTATAATTTCTGCAGTTTAACAGAAAATGCAAAAAGTAATTTTGAAAAACGTGGTAGATATGCACATTTAATGACTTCTCCATTTGTTTTGGTGAAGATTCTAAAACTTTATCAAAAGGAATATTATGATGAATATGTTTTACCTTTATTACGTAAGCCAAAAATAACATTTGATATAAAACTTGATGACTCGTTTTTGATAACAGATATTAGACGCAAGGCTGAAAATCATCAGTATAAAAACAGTTCTGAAGTAATTGAGGATTTATCACGTGTAATCCGTTTTGTAGATTGCGGAAATAAATATTTCATTCAAAAGGACTATAATATCCACGACAAAATGAATCAAATATCATTCATTCTTCAATCAAACATGAAAGAGTCACTTAAAATGATTAAATTATTTAAAGAAGAAGGTAAAACAATAACAGCATGGGACGTACTATTAAATCAATTATCCTCATTAACCGTTAAGGGTGTTTGCTTTAAATCTGATTCTCCAGATGTTTTCTCAACGTTTCAAGGTTATAAATACAACATTCTTGAAAAGCCTGATTACTCAAAAATTGAGATGTTTATGAATTTCATTAAAGAAGCCATTTGTGATAATAACGATGAAGTGTATAAATACCTTCTCGGCTGGATTGCATCAATGATTCAACATCCTGGAATCAAGAATGAAACAGCAATTATTTTGAAAGGACTTCAGGGAACAGGTAAAAACAGATTTACAGACATTATTTCTGAACTTCTCGCTGGTTATTCATGTAAAAACATTACTGAAATAAGTGAGCTAACGGGTAATTTCAATTCGGTTGTTGAAAATAAAATGTTTCTTGTACTTAATGAACTCAAGAATGTAGGTGAAGACAGACTCGCAAACTTCAACGCTTTGAAATCAATTATTACGGATAATGAGATTAGAATTAATGAAAAGAATTAACCCAGAAGAACAGCTCAGAACGTTGCAAACTTCATTTTCGTAACTAACAACGTCTACCCTGTCAAAATTGAAGTTGGAGACAGAAGATACGTAGTTTTAAGAGTTAATGGTAAATTCAAGGGTCAA